GGGAGGGGTGTGTTTAAAGCTCTGCTTGTTTACATAGAAAGCTTTGCCGAATAAGCGCAGAGATTTTCTCGGTCTCCCCAGGTTCTTCGCAGCAATAGCTTGCTGGAGTCAACAGACTACTGGTTGCAGAATCAGAGGACGCCCTGCCAAATTGGTTTTGTGGAAGACAAGTCTGACAACTGTGCTTCAGTAAGTATACAGAATTCTTGGGATATTGTCTGATAAAGCAGGAAAATGGGCACATGTACCTGTGTTTAGGATAGAAGTTTCATAATTCATTAAATACAAGACTGGGAAAGTATTCTTTTGAAAATATGTAACTGATTTATATGGACTGTTAACAAAATAACGTACAGAGTTTAATGTTTCTATTCCAATTTTTCTTATTTCAACAGGTAAGTTAATTCTATCAATTCTCTGAAAAGAAAAAATGTATTTATTTTTTTAAATGACTGAGAAAAAGATTCAGAAATAGAATTGTATGATAAGAAATAAAAGAGCATTCTACAGCTCTCTTGGATTCTTTTCAATATATTTTATAATCTCTGCTAGTAGATATTTTCCAACATGAAAACTGTCAAAAAATGTTCTACCATTCTTATAAGTTATAGTCATTATTAGGAAGCCTTTTCAATCTAATAGAAAATAGATATGCATTTTAATGTACTGGAACTGAACTTTCCAAGGGAAGAGATGGTCATGTAGATAAACAATATTATTCAGGTAGTTTAAAATGCGAGTAGATATTATTGTGCAATATTCTCCTTCCTATATGTTGTGCAAAGCTATATGTTTCATTTTGATTGAAATCGCCTAGCTTGTATGGGGTCATGATTACAGAGATGAGGGGGAGCGTGTTTCCAAAGAGGAGAGAAATGTAATGCAATTCTCATGACTCAATTGAGAGCATCAGCTCTGAGCTATTCCTGGAGGTAAGTTGCATGCCAGCATTTCTGTTATAAGAAAAGAAAAAAGAAAGCTGAAAATGGACTGGGGAGGCTTTTTATATATAATGAGCAGAACTAGAAAACCAGAACTGGCAGACAGAGGATGTTAAGCATCTCACACTGCACAAGAAATGCAGAGTTCATTCAACAAACTTAAGTCAATCTTCTTGTTTAGGAAAATGATTATGATTTTGCTACTTTTAGTATCTTTCATCTATTGTCCAGAAAACTAGCTGTTGACTAAGAATCTTTGAGGAAAACAAAACAGTTTAGGTGGTAAGTAATTTAATAGTGATGTCATTTTTGCAAATTTAATTCTGCAAATTTAATTCGGAGACGCATTGGAAAATTGAGGCATTTGTTCACACAGATCTCTAATTTCATAGCTATAAATTGTAAAAGAGAGAAATGGAGAGGAAAAGCTATTAGTAGACATATTTTAGTCAAAGTTGTTCAAGCAGCTCTTGTATTAAAGTCTTCTACTTGGAGAACTCATGAGAGTTGAGGCACTAAAAATTGTTTAGTGAAAGGTAAATAAATCTTCTCTAAACTTTATATCTTGGAGGTCTGAAGTGCAAGTGAATTAAAAATGATAACTCTTTTTTTTTTTTTTTTTTTTTTGAGTTGGAGTCTCACTCTATTGCCCAGACTGGAGTGCAGTGGCCGCTCCCAGCCACCGCAGCCTCGACCTGCTGGGCTCCGGCAATCCTTCCGCCTCAGCCTTTCAAGTAGCCAGAATTACAGGCATGCGCTACCATGCCCAACTGATTTTTTGATTTATTGTGGAGATGAGGTCTCGCTGCCCAGGCGGGTCTCAAACCTGCGGGCTCAGGCAATCCACTCACCTCAGCCTCCCAAAGGCGCGGGATTACAGGCTGAGCCACCGAGTCTGGCAAAAAATGATAACTCTTATAGTCAAATTTAAGGACTACCATTAGACCTTCCTGTGTACAAGAAAACTCTTTCTCCCATACCCCATCGATCTCAATAGACTCAAATTTGGACTTAAAACTATCTTAACTTTTAATTTCTTATAGTGTCAGATGACACCAGTAAGGTGGAGCTGATTCATTTTGCCATTGGGTTCTCCCTATTATTTCCAAAAGAGTAAAAGCCTGAACATGAATCAAAGTTATATTGGAAGATTTGTGTCCTCTCAATAATTTGTTATGATTAAAATGTATACAAACTTAAACAATTGAATCTGAAAGGGTTGAACTAATAGAAGCAGAGAGCAGAAGGATGGTTTCCAGGGGCTGGGATGGTGTGGTGGGTGGGGGAAAATTGAGGAAAGTTGGTCAAAGGGTACAAAATCTCATATAGGAGAAATAAGTTTAAGAGACCTATTGTACAACATGGTGACTATAATTAATAACGATATATTGTATTCTTGAAAAATGCTAAAAAAATAGATTTTGTGTGTTCTCAATATAAAAAAGAGACAACACATATGTTCGTTAGCATGATTTAGCTTCCTACAATATATTCTGTATATTTAAAACATCATGTTATACACAATAAATATATTCAATTTCATTTGCTTTATTTAAACAAAATAAAACATGGGAAAATGTCAAGAATCTAAACCTAAAAGAAATTTCAAGATTCCTCTGAAAAACTAGCCCTAATCTCTCAAAAATGTCCTCTAAGTTACTTCTTCAGTTCTAAATTTTTTCTTTGTAGCTTAGCATAGATTTCCAGGGGGGAAAAAAAACTTAAGTGCTTAGAGTTACATATTGCTGAAGGGAAACAATTACCCACAGGAGACATAAAAGCAAACTATAGAGATGAAGGTTGCCTGAAAAGGAACTCATGAGCAAAATAGCCACACAGAAGGAGTAGCCAAAATGATCAGGGAAAAGACACTTTGTTTTCAAAACCAATTCTCCACATCAACAAGAAAATAAAAGCATAATTTAAAGAAGGGAAAGACTGTATTTTAAAATAGTACATTCGTCAAAGTTTAATATTAAAAAATAGCTTCACAAAATCATCCCACTCCTATTTACAAATAAACACAAAGAATCTGAGGAATCTGTAGCAATTCTGTTGTGTATTGTTTGTAATGTGTGCATAACTTTTGGGACTTGACTCCAAGTTAATATTGCTTCTTCGACTCGTTTCTTCCTGACCAAAATTAGTAGCTGACTGCTTCAAACCAGTTTTGATCAGTTTGGTATTCATTGTAATGAACTTCCAATATTTAGATTTGTGGTGTCTTAAAACTAAATACTTCAGTGTCACCAATGTTTTCTGAATTCAAGATATCCACTTAATATTTTTACTGAGGGGAAATCTCGGGCTTGGAAAACTTCAAGGGTGTTGCATGTGTCTCAGTACAGATGTTTGTTTTTGAGCACCAAATGATGAGTTACAGTCATTTCTTCAACAGGGAACAGCATTCATGCCACAGTTAATATTAGGAGTCTTAGTGAAGAAAAAACAGTTTGGATTAACCAGAAATATGACAGGCATGCCAGGAAGTCTGACTCAGAAGACTTTTGAAATTACTTTTAATAGTTTTTACTTAGAGTCCCACTCTGTCACCCAGGCTGGAGTGTGGTAGTATAATCATAGCTCACTATAACCTCGACCTTCTGGGCTCAAGCAATCCTGGGGTTAAACAATCCTCCCGCCTCAGTCTCCTCAGTAATTGGAACTATAGGTGCATGCCACCACGCCTGCCTTAATTATTTATTTATTTTGTAAAAAGCGGTGGTCCCACTATGTTCCCCAGATTGGATTTGAACTCTTGACCTCAAGCAATGCTCTGGCCTCAACCTCCCAAAGTGCTAGAATTACAGGCATGAGCCACCGCACCCAGTCCAATAGTTTTTCAAAAGGTATCAAATATAAAAACTGTGCTTATGTGTTTCTAAATAAAATTCTCCTATCAAGCTACATAGTTTTGTTTTCTTTCTGATTTAATATTCTATAAAAAACCAAAATACTCGTAAACTTACCTTCACTGTATTTTTTATACCTCATTATTTAAAAGAACAGAAATAAAGGAGGATCAGAGAATTGGAAACCAATTCAAAACCCAACAGTTGAGCCATTATCTTAATAGAGTTCCTTAACATAAGTGGAAGGAACCAGATTTTTGGCACTCTTGACTTTTTTTTTAATTAACAGCTAAATTAGTTTTTTTGTTTTGTTTTGTTTTGTTTGCTGTTTACTGGAATTTAATTTTTTGATTTTTCAGGAAACATTTTTTGGTTTAGTGGTTCATTTATATTACCTTGACCATTCATATTATTTCCATTAATAGTTACTGTCAAGCTCTTTCGTTTTTGGTCACTTTAAGACTCCCAGTTATCTCTCTCCAAATAAATTATACCTTCTTTCTAGCATTCACTTTAGTTGCTGAGTCAAACATTTGAAAATGTGTTGTGTTTGCCTCAAATCTGTAAATAAGTCAGTCAAAACTCTCTAGTAGCCATCACATGACATCACGAAACTAAAAAGATATTTTCCAGTTGTTCTGTGGTTCTCTTGTGCTAATGCAACCCAATTGTGACAATGACAAAATGATATCTCAGATGATTGAATTTTATTTTATGTTATTTCTCTAAGCATATTTATACTATTTGACAAACACCCCATTTGATAAATTGCTCTGTAGAAGAATCTAGACTCACACAATGAAGAAAATACACAATTATAGAACTGCGAAGGACATTTTAAATTATCCGGTCATGACATTTACCAAGTTTTCAGGCAGTTTTTAATGTTTTCTTTTTCTTAAAATATCAAGTTTGGAAAAATTGCAAGAAAAGTGCAAAGAATCCCCAGACTCCCCAGATGCTAATATTTTACTACATTTGCTTTATCTTTTACTTTGTGTGTTTTTGTGTAAATATACATATATGTTTTTTAATGAAACTTTTGAGAATGAATTGCAAACATGATCCCCTTTCATACTTCAGTATGGAACACAAATTTATAAAACCAGGACTGAAACCAGACTTCCAGAAATCCTTATTCCTTATTTGAGCACTTATTCAGTATCCACTGCATGATGACATTCTTCTTTCTCTCTCTCTCTCTCTCTCTCTCATTTTAATAGCTTTAGGGTGTGCAAGTAGTTTTTTGGTCTGGGCATTAAGTGTACCCACCCGTGTACATTGTACCCGATTGGTAATTTATCATCCCTCCATCCTTTCCCTGCCTTCTAAGTCGTCAGTGTCCATTATACCATCCTCTATTTTCTTTGCAGATCCTTAGTTTAGCTCCCATTTA